CATGAATGTCCAACTTGCCCAAGAACACACAAATCTCTGCGTGGGGCTCTTCTTGCAGCTTCTTTGGTCTTTGCCTGACACCCAAAAGCCATCAAAACCTCCAAACCTCCACTGAGGAGTCGATACAGTCGATCAAAGTCAATCTGCACGGACAGCAGGGACAGGTGGTCGAAGCAGGTCGAAGCTGTGGCCCCGACCAAGAGCACCAGTCCACTAGTGAGGCGATCAAGACCTCATGCCCGTCGGGCTGTACATCCGATCCCACGAGTTGCTCGGTACATGAGTGCCAAAGCGGTGCTTGGCCCGAAGCGGTGTGTTGTGTGCAGTGTCGCGTCCGCCTCAATTCAGCGATGATTAGGAGCACTGATGCTTTCATGAGTGCAGACCTCGACAGTTTGCTGATCACGAAGAATGGCGATGAGGGAGTTGAAGCCTGAGAATTATGTATGCAATCCAGCTGACCATGCCAAAGCACGAGCATGGCATAATGCGTGCTATTGAGGTTTTGATGTTGGGCAAAGCACGGTAGCTTCCACAAGGATGTATTGGCAACGAGCTGGGCTTGTTCACCACAAGCAGCTCCTGCACAGCGTTTGCAAAGCAAAAGCCATCTGAGAACCTGCGTAACTGTGAAACCCCATGGCCTGCGTCTCAGCAACCACCTCCAATACAACAGTACTGTTAGAATTGGCTACAGTAGACGCACTGCCGCACTGCCCTTTGAAAACTGTTGTCGCTAAATCTTGGCCTGGATGGGGCCCCGATCAAGGACAGGGTTTTCTCGGCATCGCACAGCACGATGAACCTCAGAAATTGTAGAACAAGATTGATCAGGGTCTCTCTCATTGACTCCGACCATGGCATCTCAAACAACATCTCGGTGTGCCCTTCGAATCTCAGTCTCTCGAGGATCTGACGATCAGTTGCCCGTCTCGCAGAACATGCTCTGATTTCACCGCTTGTCCATCAACAGTTACACGGCCTGCTGCAATGGATGCCTGGCAGCTCCCAAGATCTGGTGGCGTGCAGTATGCCCCCCCAACAAAAAGGAACAATTAACTGGAAGCTCTAGCACGTCCGATCATAAATGTCTGCAGCAAATGTATTGCATGTTCAGATCGCTTATTTAATTTGTTTTTGGTTGGCGCTGCCATTTTGGTAACTCACCACTTTACATACTCAAACTCCCAACCTCGTAGTAGTCGCGAGGAAATGCGACAAACTCGCAGGCGCAAACCTGCAGGCTTGTGGCAATAGAACTGTTTCTGAGTTTTAGGAAAATCAACAGCCTCTAAGAGTGTTCTGCCGACCCATCGTTGCCTCGCAAAGAGAACTATCAGGAATCAGGAACTAATATAATTATCATTGTTCAATTTGATGTGTACATCACTTCTCCCTGGTGAGGTGTTGGCTTGACGTGAGTAGTGAAATCGAAGTCATAGGGCCTTATGTTCAGCCAGTGCTAAACAGGATCCACATCTGAATCAAAAACTGCCGCGACTTGAACCTTCTGATCTGCCAAATATCCCCAAAGCAGCTGACTCCACATGCCGAAGACCACCTTGCAGCCTGTAGGTCACCTAAAACTGGGTCGTGTGTGTGCAAGAACGACGGGTATTTCTCTGGCGACACGAACGTGCTCAGGACCCTTGGAGACACGGCCTGACGACGAAACACAGAAGCTCAAACCACAGACCGTGCAAGACCTACAAGTGACGGACCACATCAAGCGGACCTCGCTTTGTTGGCTGAGATGCTGCTGGAGTTGCCTGGCGATGACATCAACTCAAATCCATGCAGGCATATACATATGTATACTGTATATACATGATGTCTCTTTTTGCAAGCCCAGTCTGGGTCTGGGACTATCTTACCTTCAGTCCCATCCTGTCCTGCAATGCAGTGCAAACTTTACACCCGTCCGATTCCAGAGAATCATAGAATAGAATGTCAAATCGATCTGTGATTTGGTTGTCACCTGCCAGACATAAGCTCAGCTCTCGACTGGTGTGAGGACAGTTAGCTGCATCTTTGGCCTGCATCAAATGCGGTGACAAATTTGCCCGCAGCACTGCAGGTGTGAGAAAATGTTCAGTCTCAGTCTATAGCCTCCAGCTGTTTGGAAACGGCACGTGGGTGACATGTGAAAAGCGAAGGGATACATGTCATGAGAATATCCGAGGATTATCCTGGACAAGGCGGTGGATAAAGAAAAGCGGCGTGGCCAAGCAGTGGACAAGGCCCAGACAAGGCTGTGTCAGACAGACCCGAAGAAAGCACGGCCAAGCAGGACACACAGAACCCGGCCACAGGTTTAGGAGGACACCAAGAAGGCAAGAAGGGGGCACAGGACAAGAAGAGGACAACAGAAGGAGGACAAGACCCGCGAGCACCAGGAGGACAATAAGAGGACAAGAGGAGGACACAACTTGGCCAGCGCGGCCAGAGGACAACAGCAGGTCAACTACAAGCACCAGGAGAACAAGAGGAGGACAAAAGGAGGACAAGCCCCGGACACAGCAATCAGGGGCGCGGCCAAGCCACTGTGGCCACTCTTTTTCTCCTAAGAGAGAGCCCCAACAGTAAACTGTTTGGGGAATCCGCCCACACCGCTTGTCGGTGCAGGGCGTGCTATTGGGGCTCTTGCCGTCGAGCTCTGCACTTTCGCGAAAACATCCTATGCATATGGCTCTGCTAGGGGGGGGCCTCGGCTTTTTTTTTCGCGCGTGCGTGGCTATGGTTGAGCTGCAGGGCCACTGGGGAGAGCGTTTTGGAGGTACATGCTTGGATGAGTTTTCGTTACATTGTGCTTGCAGGGCCACTGGGGAGAGCGTTTTGGAGGAGTTTTTGTGTTTTGGAGTGGTTGCTGCGTTGATTCTTGCTCGGCTGCAGGGCCACTGGGGACAGCGTTTTGGAGGCGTATTTTTGGATAGCTTTTGGCAATGCCGAAGTTGTATCACCATTATCGGCCCCAAGGTAGACGAAGTTGGCCCCAAGATGGCTCCAACGCAGACCGTAAGACAGCCAACCTGGCGCCTAGATGGCTGCACTTGTCCCCCATTTGTAGCCAAAATAGTTCGCAGAAGCTCCATTTCGGATGTTCGTGCGCGGTGTGGGCGGCTGTCGACGCGAAACGTCTTGAAAAAATCTATGACGAAAATAGATCATGCCTCAGCCTCTGCAGTAGCTGCGAGCCGCTTGGGCATCTGCTCTCATGCTGCAAGAGACGATGCGATGTATCTTTGATGTATATTCCTTGGATTTAAAATGTTTCATGCTTCAGCTTCAGCTCTTCACTCTTTGAATGCTGCTCAAGCTGGGACCATCTCTGACTCCAGTGTTGTGCCGATCAAAAGTGAATAGAGAATGTAGAAAGCTACTTAAATGAACTGCCCACAAAAGCTCAGCTCAGCTTACTCTGCTTGACCTTACGTGTCTGGAGCATGGAGCAAAATCTGAGGGTGAGCATGCTGAATTGCCACATCTTACGAGTCATGGTCTAGAAACATTAGAAATCGTAGCGTGCACAAACCAAGAACATCAAGAACAAACGATCAACATTCAATCCAATGCTTTCATACCTAGAGAATCAGCATTCTTGCTTCTGATCTCGGACGTGACAATATTATTGTCGAGTGTCCTGGTTGGCAATCCATACTCAGCTTGGAGTCTAGCTATCCACACTTTTCTTCACGTCCCCACTGGCAACTTTCCTCGTTAAGTCGAGAATGCCACGCTGCGAAATGCATTGCAGTGGCGAACCTACCACATTTGCCGAAGCAAAACGCAGACTTCATTTGTTCATCTAAGAACTGTTGTTTGGGTTTGGGAACCACAGCTGCCTAACAAGCTTCCACTGTAGGACGCTTCCGCGCTTGAATTGTCCAGCAACGGCTTTCATACTCAGCAATCATCCAAATCCACATTGACCTCACACAGGAGCCCTCAGCTTGTGACTGCGACAAAGTAGTGAGCACACAAAACCACAAAGCAAGCCTGCTTTTCATCGCCGACCAGCCCTCCTCAAAATGGTGTCGAAATAAATTGTCTGATGCACTTTTTTAGATGACTGACTGTTAGAATTCATGATGTTTATGCGTGCGCATCTTCAAGTATTGATTCGGTCAAGCAAAAATGGAGGATGGCAGTGCTTTGTCATTCACAACCAAATTGAACACTGGGAATGACCAGTCGATATATATTGCAGCCTTGGCGAAGGCGTTCTGCGGCGTGGACGGCGGTCGTCAACAGGGCGCCTGGGTGGCCTCAGAACAATTCTGAAACGAAAGAGTTGAAAAAATCGATGTGTCTTTTCTTAGTAGCTAGAGGTAGCTAGTAGAAGCTAGGTAGCTAGTAGATTCCTTCAGATCCTTAAGCTACTAGTATGGACACAGGATAGCTCACGCTTCTTCAAGGAAGCTCGCCCTGCCTGAGGGCGGGGGGAGCTTCCTTGAAGAAGCGCTCGCACTATTCATGTGGTTCCTAGATCTTTTGGAAAACTTATATACTATCTTATATACTATGCAGATCATGAGCCATCTCAGGAGTGCACTCAGCCCTACCGCCTCCCCGACTAGTCCCTTCGTTCCTGGAAAGTCGGATCATGACAATCATGTTGCCGCGCAAAAGGTGAAAAGCGGTCCTGGAACGAGGAGGCGGCTCAGGTCGGCCTTGAGCAAAGAGACCCTCCAAACACCTTGCTCCTAGTAGCGTCCTTTGTTCCTAGTAGTACGGCCAGGAGCCCCTAGTAGCGTCCTTGCTCCTAGTAGCAATGCCAGGAGCCCCTAGTAGCTTCTTGTAACAGGTTGACTTCTTTAAGCCGCTAAATTGAACTATATAGACTACTAGATTGCTAGATTGTATCATCTGCAATGCAACAAGTCGATAAGCTTTCCACGAGATGTTGCCTGCAATCTCTTGCTACAATCATCCAGCACAAATCATGTTGTAAATTCATTGGTTGAGGGTCTGGTCTTGCACATCACGACACATGTGTTCCATCACTGGCCAAATGATCCAAACCCAGACAGCGTGACAGCCCTAGGTGCATCTCGATAGCCTCAGACAAGAATATGTATATATATATATTTATACTGGATTATACTGGCAAATTCTGGACAAACGTTGGAGGCAGGTACTGACAAGTTGTTCTCAGGATTGGACCACCGCCAGATGCCCTGTCGATTCACAAGAGCACGAATGCCGGTAAGAACTTGATGTTTGGTTCAGAGTCCCTGCCTCGGGCTTCTACTCCTACGACTGGCACCTGCAGGTTTGTTTGATTGACTATATAGATGTTGTTTTGCCCGCTCTCCAACCCAATAGCAATAGCAATGGCCTCCAACCTATACTAGCCTTGGCCTCCAACCCAACCCAACTGTCATGTTCTTGGTCTTCTTTCATCTGGTTGAAACATCCCTTCACCATGAAATGGAAGTGCTCCTGAAGCAGGAGGAGGTGCCCGGGCATTTCCAGAATCGCGCCGCCTGTGGCGTCATACATTGATTGCCATGACAGGCTGCTCTCAACACTCCGCGTTCCTGGGAGGTGGTTCGTCCCCTTCCAGGTACACGTCGATGGTCCTGTCCTAGAAAACAATAATGGTCGATTCGCAAGCGAGGTGGACTCAAGTAAAGTAAACAGCTCTCTCGGGAAGAAGAAAATAAGAGCCCGTCATTCAACTGGCCACCGTGGAAGCGCCGGACAGCGTCTCGCGCGGCTTTTTCCCTTCAAGCGTGACAGGTACAGGCACAACTCTTCAAACAAAACTCCCTGAGCTCTTCGCTCTCGAAATGTGATTGAGGCTGTGTCTGCACCAACAGTTGCACCTGCTGTTGGTAAAATGTGCTGTGAAAAAAACTGAAGTGCAAATGCTAGGTCCAAGGCTCACAACACGCCCAACAGGTTGGAAGGCAGTTTCAAGGTCTCGACCTCCACATCGTCAGAGTCGAAAAAGCACGAGCTTTGGGCGTTGGAGCTGAAAAATGTGGAAAATGTGAGCAGGGAAAAGGTCTCAGCGACTGGCGATTGATGCGGAGACCGCTCAGGCCAGAGACAACCTCAAAAGGCCCCGCAGGGGTGAATCACAAATCACAACCGTCTTCCGGCTTTGAGCAACTCCAGGCCAACTGAGAACTCAGCTATGGTGCACCTGATCTGACGAAGCCAATCTTTTCATTCAAGAGTAAGAACCATTAACTAATAAGTAGAGCCAGAAAGGAACCTGGCCTGTCGCTTCCATTACCCCGTCCTGAGCGACGATCGAATTGCTACACCAATGTTGAAACATGCAAAAAAGCGAACGAACCTCTGTCATCGTTCACCGGCGGGAGGTCATCATGCCTGCCAAGACTGGAGGTGCTTCAGAGGACTCCTGGTGAAGCTTGGCAGCCTAGCCTCCTCCGGTCTCTATCACGAGGCCTAGAATTTGCATCAGCAAAAATCAAAGCACTAGTCACTAGTCGCTAGTAGCTGCGTAGCTGCTTTACTTTACACTGAGGTGCGAAACGCACCATGTAAATGACATCATGCGGGATAACGTCTAGATAAAAAAGAGAAGGCCTAAGCTTATGTCTTGCATATTCATGCAACAGTTCATGCAGGTGTACCAAGAAACCATTCCTGGGCCCCGACTCGGGATCTCCTCGCCCACCCTGACAAGCTCAAGTAGCTACAAGCTCAACATCCGGACTGATGCGGCCGAAATGCAAAAAGGAATTGTAAGGTCCAGACACCATAGTCATAGTCCTAAAGTTGGAGCATGCTGCGCGTATTGTAACCTTTTCAACATCACAACCCACGACAGGGTCCTTGTAACCGCCTCCACTCCGGCCAGCGTATCTGTCATCGTCCCTGCGATCAGATCTGTCCGTAAGACTCTGGGCAGTGATCAATGCAAATCTTGTGCCCACTGCGCCTTCCACCATACGACTTACTTCCGTAGTCCTGAGGTTCAGAGTACAAGCCAAGAAGCTCGAGGATGAAACGTGTGACAGAAGGTTTAAGGCCGCCGAGAATCGTAGCTGCCCTTGCTGTATTTATCATACTTGCTTTCGTACTTATCGTACTTGTCATACGACTTGTCATATGACTTATCATACGACTTGTCGTACTTGTCGTCATAGCCTTTTTCGTAGGCTTTGGAACCTCCAATCATGGCTTGTCAAAATCTCACAGGCAAATGGCATCTGTACTGAACTTCACAAGGACCAACTTAAATCGCCCCTTTTAAAAGCAGAACAACTCAGAGCCTCCGCTACCGTAGGAGTTCCTTGGACCGGGCATCATGGTTTCTGAAAAGAGGCATGATGGATTGCCAAAAGCTTGCCCTTGAGCCTACGACTTATCATATCCTCCTGACCAATTTTTGCTACCACCGCCGGATGACCAAGATGAGTCCCACTTTGCACCTTTAGCAAAGGAACGAATGTCCCTTGAAAGAACTTGCAGGTACCATGGTGCGCCTCCACTCGTGTAGGAGTCGCTTCCCTGCAAACAATCGCAAGCTTTCACTGGACCCCAAAAGGCAAAAAGAATGCAAAAAAGACTACACGTCCATCAGTTCCTTGCCTTGCTCTTCCAGCTCCAATCACCTCCGTCCTTCCCATCTTTGCCATCTTTCCAATCCTTGTAACCATCAAGCAGCTGTGGCACGAAGGCGTTACAGCATGCCCTAACAGGTCTCCGGACATACTTGGCTCCACCGCCACCGCTACCACTCCATTTGGCATCTTTGTCCTAACAAATGTGCTGACTTCTGTTCGCAGGCAACAGTTGTCGATCAGAATGAATTTAAGGGAAACATCCTGCGGGCGTTGCCACTGGGATCATTTGCCAAGCATTTTATAGAGAAATTGTCTATATATATATATATATAGACAGAGAGAGAGAGAGAGAATGCCTGGCAAAGTACAAAATCTCTGTAAATCAAATAATTGGCAAAGGTGTTTCTATAAAATGCAAAGTCAGACCCACCACAAGCAGTCTGTCGACGGTCGGATCATTTCAAGTTGTTTGCCAAGTCTGTTGCGCAAAGCACAAGGCTGACTTATGACTTGTGTCTGTGTATGAACTTTCATCCAAAAGCATTATGAACGATTCGTCGTCTCACCATCTCACCTTCGCATGTCGCACCTCGACAGAGTCTATTCAGAGCTCTGATCAAGCGACTCTTGGACTCGAATGCATGTCACGAAGTTCGTTGCTTCTAGTAGCTTCTTGTTGCTACTAGTAAGGCACCTGTTACTACTAGCGTGGCACTTGTTTCTAGTAGCTTCTTGTTACTAGTGTGTACAACACTTTCCATGCAGAAAAGACAACATATTGCAGGCGGTATTTGGAAGCTGCCTATGTGTTCGACCAGAACCACGGCTTCACGTGCACACCAAAACCCTTATTGTGGTAGCCAGCGAGCCCCTGTCAGGGGAATGACTGTTTGGCCAAATTCTTCCAAATACAAGGTTCGTCCTGAGAACCGCTCGAAGCTTGAGTGGTAGTTTGGCGATGCTGAGGAAGACCCATTGTGAAAAGCTGTGGCTGTACACTGAGAAAAGATCAAAAAGTAGAGAGTACAGCCACGGGCCACACTTGCTCCTTTTTCAAACACAGTAATCAAAAAGTCCCAACGTCCATTATACCGGCATAGACCCCAGATAGCACTTCAAGAACAGGATAGCATGGCAAGAGCGGGAGACAAGCTTGGGAGACATTTCACTCAAAGCCGGGAAAAGGATGGAAACGGTAAACAAGACCTAAATCATCTTATAACTTATAACAGCATCCCCGTCAAAGGCAGGCAAGAAAATGACAAGGCGGCAGCGGCAGCCAAGAGCGAAATCAGGAACAGAGACAAGCTTGGGAACCACGGCGGCAGCGGCAGCCAAGAGCGAAATCATGAAGGGAGACAAGCTTG